TTTGGAGAAAAAAATGCATCAAATAAAAGTTACTTACAATATTATCAATATTTTTTGTTCTATACAAAATTTTCCTAAAATGGTCCGTATTCGAGAAATTTGACAAAATGTAAAAAAATAATTTTTTATAAAAGTTGTTTGTAATATAATTTTCTATAATTTTTATCCTATACATAATTTCTGTAAAATGGACCGTATTCGAGATATTTGAGAAAATGTGTAATTTCGAATTTTGAAGAAAACTCAAAAACGGATGAAGGAAAAAACATTAAATTTTAAACTTAAGTTTTATTTTGGCCTGACGTAAAATGATTAGATTTTGGAAAAAGTCGGAACATATAGGGGGTACTTTATGGGAGGCCGTTTTTATATTTTATGGAATATATCTATAGAAAAATATTTTGACTTAGATGTATGTGAAAAATGTATATATTTAGTTTATCCTCTAAACATTTTTAGAGGTGCTGCAATAGGTTGTACAAAATAACCGGGAAAAGCCTATAATAACTAGATAGGAAAGTCATGTGTTGGACACATCAGATTTTTATTCTGGTTAAACACAACCGATTAGATCATTCAATTGACGTAAGGCCTATTAGCTCAGATGGTTAGAGTGTCAAACTTATCAACTTTGCCATTTGAGACCTGGCGAACGACCGCGTTCAATCCTGGCGGGGCCACAATTTTTTTTTGTTTAGAAAATACGATTATTGTTGATTATTTTTTTAAATACATTTTAATTATTATAATAATAACCTGGTTTTACATTTTTTGATGAAATTATTTTGTGGTCGTAGGAAAATTATTGTACATCACTTGTGTGAAAAGATATTTTCCACACTGGTAATGTAATATACTATACTAGATAGGTACCTACTTAAATAATGCAAGTTTATAAAATATGTGCATAATTTAATGAATTTTGATGGTATGTATCAAATTTATTATTTATATTAATTGCAAAAATTATGCGACACTGGTAATAGTGTCCAGGTATTTCCCCTCATAACGTAAACAAATTCTGTGAAATATATATGCTTGAAGAAACGACCCTTTTAGCATTCGGTTTAGTCCGATTAGTGACAGTTCAAGAGGCTTAAATGTCATTTAGAAACACCCTAGAAAACTCCGCTCCTGTCTCGTTCCAGGGGCCCAATACTCGAAACATGCGTTAACTGCCGCATGCGCTAAGTAACGCATGATCGTTAACGCATACGACAGCAATTTAGTATTCCTGAACACCTAGCGATAATCGCGAATCAAGTCGAACGTGTTAACGAAGAGTCTTTGATTATTGCATAGTCTTAACCAATGAGGATTGAGAATACCAAAGATGGTATCACTGAATATGAGATAATTGCATTGACACATGTCAAAATTGCCAAAAATTATAAAATTAAATGGATTGGATGTCTAATAATTTTTGGTTTTTAGACGTTTTAACTGTGATTATTTGTATTTTGGACTTGAGAATTGGAGTGGTTTAGATTTAGAATATTAAAAATGGAACAGCGTGGTTCACGAATAACGGAAAAATTGCGTGAAACTTTAGTAGAATTTATAACATTGTTTAGTGCCTGTAAAACTCATATTTCTTCTATATCATCCATACTAAATAAAATAAACCAAAATAAAGTGGCACCTAAACGTCCAATAAAAGAGTTCACGGTACAAAAAGTTTCATTTTTATATTCTAATAAAATGTTCAATAGAGTCAAATTAAAAATAAATATTTCCCAATAATAAATCACAAAACAAAACCAATAGATAGAAACACGAATCACATATGATAAATCAGGATTAATTGACAATTATAACCTTACTTTCACCTAAACGAATGCGACAAAGTAGTTGTCGAACGGTCATGAGCGCTCTTTGAAAATCATCATTTCTTAGCGCATACGTTAATAAATTTGACGAATGCCGCCCACAAAGCACATAGAGGTTCCACGTGAATGACCAAGGTCAAAACCGACAACTGACATTTTTTATGCTATTTGCTCCAAACTCTAGATGGAGCTACTGGTAAAATTCTGATTTCTTACTCCATTTTTAAACTTTATGCGAGAAAAACTTAACCAAAGACTCCAAAGATGTGACGTGTATTTATTTGTTTTTGGTTAATCTCATTTTTCCGTCTGATTTTAGTGATTTTTTGTTGGATTTGGCTTTTGGTTTCTGTTTATAGTTTCGTCTTAGGTATTTGCAAAATTGTGATGTTTTGTTTTTCTATTTCCTACTGTGTCTTGCAATAATTTTGATGCTACCTGTGGGTGCTACGTTGAAAACTTCGAGAAAAACTTCATTGATTCACCATGCACCTGCATCATAAAAAGACAAACGGGTATAACAACTAATCGATAATCAATTTATCACTGGACTAGATTCCGAAATCATTTTTCACATAAGAGAGTAATACACAAAGCAGTGGAGTAATACCACCATCTGTATTTGGAAGGAAAATACCTATTTATCATTGAATGAATAGTTAAACGGATTCACCTTTTAATACAATAACTATATTACATTTGTCCTCAGTTAAAAAGACATTTATAAAATATATAACTTTAGTGTTAATAAAATGTAATATCCTAGTCTCTACTTCACATTTAAATTATTGATAGGTATTTTAAAGATTTAAGATTGTATACCTATTTGCTGCAAGTAAGTATTCGTTAAATATGTATTAATTATTTGTATTTATTTTTATCTAATAATATTTAAATTATTAATAAACATATTTTAAGAATGTTCTATTTTATTATTTATTCCTATATCTTATATTTATTTAATAATAATATGCAGAACCAACTCTCCACATCAGACCCCTGCTTATAACAAATTAATTCCTCAAATTTGGTATAATCGACCTAAATTATTTTGTAAAATAAAAGTTTCGAACTTACTAGTTCCATTCTTTATTTTATAAAATAATTTATGTGGAAATCATTTAAAATTTAATTTATAACTACTACCTACTCCTAAAAATTACATTTTGAATTTACCGCCATCTGTCAATTGTCATTTTAGTTCCAGCTCCAAACACAAGGTGGCGCTAATTTGGTTTAAAAGTTTAACATTGGCGTGGGGTCTCTAGAAGATACGTGCTTTGTGATGCCGCCAGTTCAGGAATATACTTTCATCAAGTCGCATACGTTATCGCATGCGATAAGTTAACGAAGGCGTCAGGAATTGGGCCCCTGCACTTGGCCAAACCGAACGCTACTACAAATGCCGTGTTTGAGAATCCACATCGAATGCATTTTTTAAATCTCGAGCGTTTTTTATCCACATCGGACACATCTGTCCCATTACGTGTGTCTTTTTTTTCTACCGGTTTGTTGCAACCGTTGTTTCACCAATGCGGCCTTGAACGTTTTGTGTTGGATTCTGGTTGACCGTTGAAATAAATAACAGTTGACATACCGCACCGATGCCAACGTTGCTGCAACAGTTGGATAAAAAGACACACGTATTACATTTACGTATACTGAATCACGTGATCAAAGATTTACTATAGCAGAAGTAAAAGTTGGAAAGGCTTTTGCCAGTTCTCCCACTTTATACACATAAATTTACAGGTTTGCGGCGGTTCTCACCGAAGTGGACGCGGTTCATTGGCGTACAAAATTATTTTATAGATGTTAATAACAATTTCGAGTAAATAGTTTAATAAATTGTGAATAGCTGTTGAAATTTTGTAAAATTATGATTTGAATATTATAATACATGTTTAATAATTATTTATAGTCCATAAATACATGCAATTGTCCGGTTCCGACGATAACAATTTAAAATTACTTATTCTATGAAACGACACTGGCAGGAAAATATTACTTCGAAATTCTCGAAGCCGTCCGACGTGGTTTGACGTTTACCCCCTCTACCTACCAAAAGTCTTTCCAAGTTTTCCAACTTTTACTTTCGCTATACATCTCAGATGCATCCGATGTGGCAATAGTACTACACAATTCACTTCATAATATAAGAAAAAGGATAGTAAGATGTTTAAATAAGTTCATCAATAATAAACGTTTGGTACCTGAAATGTCCTTTAAACTTTAAACCACATGATAAAATATGTCCTGGGTTTAGTAAATACATATTTCTAGATGTTCTTGTAGCAACCAATACTTCCAATAGGTGAATATTTCCAACAAATTAAATCATACAGATGATAAATATTATATTTATGACGAAAACTAAACTTAAATTAACACTAAACGAAACTCAAAAACACTATTACAATGAGAATATTATCTAAGCAGTTAAAAAATCACAAATACAAAATCCCACACAAAACAAACATCCTACTTAATAATAATTCACCCCCTTACGAGTGAATTTTAACCCCTGAAGTCGACTGAACGACTTGTGTAGGGGAAGGGACGGATATTATTATTATTTGCCGTGGCGCTCCGGGGCGACTTAAAGATGATTGATGGTGCCATTTGACTTACAGGTGAGGAAACCCCGGAAAACCTCACCCACCATCATCGAGACGGTAATGTATGGCGAATTTTTTTAATCTGCATGTCATATCAACAGAAATTGAATTTCTATTAATACGCCACACATCAAATCCTAAACCGAACCATGCAATTTAATTAAAAATCCACATGGCCTGGTCTGGGCTTCGAAACCCAGCAGTCTCAGACTCATAAACTTGCCTATAAATGAATATAAGCGCGATAGACCACTACACCACCGTCCCGATAGGTGACAAATGACAGGCGCGCGAAAATTAATTTGAATCGCGAATAGCTTCATAATGTAAGAAAAAGTATACTTATTTTTTAAGATTTCATCCTCAAAATTAGATTCCGTGTTCAACTTTTTTAACAGATTCAATATATGCTTAAAGAAATGCGCTAAACAGGTGTTTTCTGCAAGACGCAAAGTATGTTTTTTTAAAGGAAGCAAAATAGCCACAAGCTGATATATTTTAAATAGTCTAATGAATTAAATAATTATACTTATTAACAATAAATCTTAATATAATGCCTATTATCTAAGAATCTTTTATAACTTTTCTTCCCATAGATAAAGGTGTAAAACTACTCTTACTGGGAGGTGGTGTTAACTTGCTAGTAATATACACAAAAGGTTCAAACAAAGTTTGTCTTCTTAAAGCAGATACAGTGAAATGCTTAATTTTTTCTCTAGTGCACCACTGATTAACCTTGGATAAGATATGGTCAGTGTCCTCATCAGTTGCTTCTTTGAAATGATTACCAACCACAATTATAGTAACCTTAAAAAAAGTCAAGTCGATTACTAATTTCAAAACAACCCAAGTTCACTTTTTGTTACATTAAGGGCCAATCAATCTTTTTACCTCTGAGTAAAGTTGAAAGTAACTACTTGGGCTATATTTGTTAATCTGTCAAATAATCCTACATGTAACTTCAACTCAGAGGTGAAAAGATCTGACCTTAGTAAACTTAAGTAAATGTCCCCATACAAAATATGTTTTACAACAACCTCCTTCACTCACATTTTTTTTTCCTCAAAAATATAGCAAATATTTATTTAGTTTTTAAACCTTTCAATTAATTTGAAGACTTTAAACTTGTATAAAGTCTAAAAAATAATGGTTGCTGTCTACCCCAAATTCTAGCTTTTTATACTTATATAAATAGATTTTGTATCAGCAAAGAACTAATGTCTTGAAACAAAGAAATATACCTATATATATATACATATAGACATAGACTGGAATATTCTAGTTAAACATAATCAGTGACAATATTTGATATTTACACACTATTTGATTTGATGTCTCATGTTGGCTCTCAATAATAATAAAGGAAATTTTATTATATTTAAGGGGGTCTATTCTGTAACAATTCCTTTATATTTAAAGGCCTTTAAAAATATTTTCTTCTTTACTTCTGTCATTATTTAAAGGGATCTTTAAAATACATTAGAGGACTATCTTAAAGAAATCTGTTTAAATAATGACAGAAGTAAATTAAGGAATACAAACATATTTTTAAAGGTCGCCAATATTTTTAAAGGTCGCCAATATTTTTAAAGGCCGTTAAATATAAAGGAATTATTACAGAATAGACCCCTGAATGTGTATAAAGTAATTGATTACATATACCCACCTCCTTTTTATCTTTATTTTTGTCAATATCTTTTTTTATTGAAACCAGTACATCAAATGAAAAGCTTTTTGATGTATCGTAAACCAAAATATAGCCATCTGCCATAAGTAGATAGTGCCTTGGGAGCTGTTGGTTTGTCATTCCATGTGCCGTAGAAATTTGTGAGTATTCTATACCTGCTGTATCATAAAATCTCAATTTTTCCTTTGTGCCCTTATCAGACTCTATATTAGCGACATAAATATCTTCAATAGTAGGATGCAAATCCTTAAATGAATAAAGTAAATAAAAAAAAACAACAGAAAATGTAAGTTAATTGGTTTTACCAATTTTTCATTTACATGACCATATATAACTTGTTCTAAAATTGTTGTTTTTCCTACTCCCTTCATTCCACTAACGACCACCTTAGAAATTTTTACCATATTGATTATTATGTATGATTTTCAAATTGAAATTTAATATTTAATGATAACTATGGAGAAGTATTATTCAAATGGATAATGGATTGGAAGGTGGAATGTAAATATAAATGTGTCAGTGTCAATATTTATATTTACATAGGCATTGCGTTCGGTCTGCCAAGTTCCTTTAACTCCTTTAACACTTTTAACTCCAAACGACCCTTTTACCGTTAGGTTTAGTCCGATTAGTGACAGTTTAACACGCTTAAATGTCATTTAAAAGCACCCTAAAATTTGTCCCGCTCCTGCCCCTGACTGACCGAACTCGCCTCTTTAGGCATTCCAACGACCTGTCCAAATGGCTACCAGTGGGTACTGACAGTTTAGATCAATGAACTGGAGTGGGGTAGAAAGCTAATGTGCATATTATCAATTGAACAAGATGCGACTCGATGGGCGCAGCCATTTTCATTTCTCATCTCACTCGGGAGTATTTATAATAACCATTTTCTGTTTCACATTGTTATTGTTCAATCCACAGGCTGGTGGATCAGACAATAACAAAGTGAAATAGAAAATGGTCGTTATAAATACTCCCGAGTGAGATGAAAAATAACCTGTCTTCGCCCATAGAGTCGCATCTCAAGCCTATTGACAAGCATTCTACCCCACTCCAGTTCATTGGTTTAGATATGGCAACCCTGTTGTCATTAACAGGGTCAATGATACATATGTGTTATATACATTGCTCAAAGCTGGTCGTTTGCGAGCGGCCATATTGCCTGGCAAATATTTAATAATTTGAATCAGTTTAGCCAAAATGTGTTTTAAAACCAATTTTCAGACTTTAGATATTTAAAAAATAATAATTGCTTATATTTTTACTTCAAGGCATAAGCTTATGTTTATTTTAAAAAGTAGGGATGATCAATCTATGTAACTATCTATTTCACTCACCTTGTCAAATCACCAGGCCTACAGAGTTGCCATAACTTTGCCACATCATAACCTGTCAAAACCCACTGGTAGTCATTCAGTTTGGAATGCCTAATAGGAATTTTTGACATTTTTCTACACATCGGAAATTTATGACATTTTCCTACATATAGGAAAGTGTCACAAATTCTTATAGGAAAAGGCTCCTACAAGTCGAGAATCGACCCCCTGGAGTGCGCAGCCCGAACTCACCTTTAGCGTTTGGTTTAGTCCATAGATTACTAATGTGTGAATAGATGGGAAACTCAATGGTAAAATTTTGAGTCAATGTGCTGCCATCTATCAAATTGGAGTGGTACTAAAATTCAATATGGCCGCCACGAGCGGGCTTTTTGAGATTTAACTTTATAGTAGCGCAAAAATGTAATGAAGAAAATCAAATAAAGCAAAAAATTGGAAAATATTTGACTAGTTTCAAATCATAAAACAACCATATTGGCTGTTTTGTGATTTGAAATTAGTCAAATATTTTGCCAATTTATATCTTTATTTGATTTTACTTCATTATATTTTTGTATTTATTTCAAACTGCATATTTTGTTTTTTTTTTTATTACAGTAAATTAACGCAGCATCATATAATTTGTCTATTTAAACATGGAAATACTCAAACAAATATGCATTTACACCATTTAAATAATTAAATATTTATAAAACAAACCCATCAAAAATGTTTTCTGTAACAAAATCAGCATATACGCACTGTATATAAGTAGCACTTACTTAAGTTGGAACCATATGGAAAAAAAATTATTGATTTTAGGAAAAAAAGTTATTTTTGATAAAAAGTCCTGCATGACCCAAAACTTAAAATACAGTCATCAGATATCAAATTTTTCAAGCCGTATACGAGGTTTGTCAAAAAATATGAATTTTGCTCAAGAGTAAAGTACGTTTATTTTTGGAAAAATCGAAAATTTTTAATTAAGAAAAGTTGATTAGAATTGAAAATTACATTCAAATATGCAATTACACCGATCTATCTGAAAAATCAGATTTTTTTCTAGATTTTGCATTGATCCACCTAATTACGGTAATCCATAATTTTTTCTCTCTCTTCTCTACTATAAACATGATACGCTTTCCTTTTCTTAAAGTTTGTGAAGAATTTAGCAATTTTCTTAATGAAAATTTTCGATTTTGTTGTCTCTGATTTATAGAATAATTTATTTACTTGCAACCTTTCCCCGCACACCACCTCGCCCCTCACCCATAAACATGGTCAAATTGGGCTAAGCCATTTTATATTCGTCTGCATAGGGAGCGATGTTGCAATCTATACAATTTGTATTAATGGAACGATATTTTCAGAAGTGGTGTAGCTCAGTGCTACACTTTCGATGCAAAGGAAAACACCTATATATAGGTTCTTTCGTTCGTCCCACTGGTGTAGTTGGGTGTAGTAATGAACTACACTAACTCACACCCATACCTTTCGTTTGGTCCGGTGTAAAACCCACTATACCTTCCTGTCGGCGATGTGGTATACACTGGTGGATATTTTCTCCACCAGGGGACCTATTTTCAAACCGTGTGAGTACTCATTTCTCTCAAGATTCTCATCAGAAATGTCATACGTCAATGTGGAAACGCTGTTTTTAAAGGCCTCGAGGATTAAAATTCTTAGGAGGATATTAATTATCTCTAAATAAACCGTGAGAAACAATCAGTGAGTATACACTGGCCCTTAGGACCCTAAAAATACTGTTTTACGTTGACGTATGACATTTCTCTCGAGAGAAATGAATTCTCTCGACTTTGAAAATAGCACCCCAGGGGACCTATTTTCAAACCGTGTGAGTACTCATTTCTCTCAAGATTCTCATCAGAAATGTCATACGTCAATGTGGAAACGCAGTTTTTAAAGGCCTCGAGGATTAAAATTCTTAGGAGGATATTAATTATCTCTAAATAAACCGTGAGAAACAATCAGTGAGTTTACACTGGCCCTTAGGACCCTAAAAATACTGTTTTACGTTGACGTATGACATTTCTCTCGAGAGAAATGAATTCTCTCGACTTTGAAAATAGCACCCCAGCTATTTAGCAGGAGCGAATTACACTCGATGATGTGTATAAAGAATAAGGAGGAAGTAAATTAGGGTAAATAAGGTGGTGTAATTTACACTGGTGGATACTACACCAATAGCGAACGAAAGAACCTTATGCTTATACTGGGTCTTCAACAATACCGAAAACCCACGTGATCAAATCGTCATGACAGCGATTGGCGAAAATAAAAGTAAAAATCCCTAGATGCGAGCCAGTGCCGTAGGTATTTTATTACAAAATAGATCTTCTTTCTTTATGGTCTTCAACTACGAGAACAAAATTCAGTTAGGTAACTGTTAGAATTACAACACAAAATCATAATATTAATTAGAGGTGCTTTACATTATTGTATTTTAATGTTAGAATTCGATATTTTTTTATATTTAGTCAAATGCATTAGTCTAATTTATAATATGACATAATTAACATAACCTTAAAAACTGAGCTATTTATATCGTTCTGATTTATAGACATGGGTAACGCACTAAAATTCTTTGCGTTGATACACTAACTCCGGCGCACTCTATTGCGCCAACTCATTGCGTTAACGCAATTGCGTTATTGCGTCACACCACTGCCTGCGCCGAATGAAGTCGATGCACCTCGGTATATCGCATGATACCGCCGATACCGGTGTTAATCAGCGCGGGCTGTCCTTTTATAAGGGTCAAACCGTGTTCAAGGCAATAACGCAATTGGGAATTTAACTAAATTTTTTTTATTATATGTTTAAAAATAAACGAAAATATAACAGTGTAATGCATCCATTTTTTTATTTCATTGTGCTCGGATTTTACAAAAAATACAAAAATTCCAATTTATATAAAAAGGATATAACTTTTGTATACTAGTAGCCAATCAAATTGGGAAGAACTAAAAATTGACAGTGTACAAGATTAAAATTTATAAAATTCGACCTACAATCCTACAAATGATGTGAAATGTTGCAAAAAACATAATTACTTGATAGATTTTGGGTAATCTGCATTACGAGTTGCATCAATTACGTAAATTAAAATTCTCAACTCGTCACGGAAAACGGAATCAGTGCCTGGCGCATCAACAACTCGCGATCCTTTCGACTCAGTATCGAAAATTGCGTTGCGCTGATACAGTAACAACTGGTGTATCAACGCTCGTAACGCATACAACTGCGTTAACGCAACGCAGCGCTGCGTTACACATGTCTACTGATTTATATCTATTTTGTATTTAACGAAAAGAATAATAAACTGAAATATGGTTCGTACTAGTTATTGCCACTATTACAAAAAAAAAAACATTTACCAGAATAGGGCACAAGAAAGTTATGGACAAAAAGTGTTATGCATTAAAATATGAATAAAATTAAAAATTATTTACTTTAGATTGACTCCTAAGATATTTAGCTACAGCTGAAACATTAAATACGATAGGCAGAAGACAATGGCAGTATTTGGCAATTATTGCAGTTTAAGTAAACAAATCTAAAATTTACTGTAATTGTACCTGAGCAATGGGAAGTAATAAACAAATAATTTTTTAAGTTTGTTCTATTATTTATATAAATACATTGTTATTTATATGTATACACAAAAATATTAATATTATTAATGTAACAAGCACATATTTGTTTTACCTTACAGCTCTCACTTTAAATTATAAAGGCATACCTATTAACAATCATTTTATTTGAAAGGATATTGAGTAGTAATCGGTGGTGCATAAACGATACTAATTCACAGTACCTATCTGTTCAAAATCTTTACCACCAGCTTTATTGCAAGCATTAATCATTCTTTTTTGAACACATGCAGTTTCTCTTCAGTTATATTTTGTATTTCATTTAATAACCCCCATTTTATGTACTCCAGTTTATAAACGTCACACGAACGATCTGTAATATTCCATAGGTAGGTTTAACAAAATTAAGGTAAAATGATTATTGCAGTACCGAAACTTTATAGGGGATGTATTATCATAAATGTTTTCAATACTTTATGGCTAGTTCATTGCGACAAACCTAAAAAAATATGTTTTGAATTTCCCTCGCTACAGTGTCTTTGAAACACCGTTCATACCTGTTTGAGGTGCAGTTTTTTTGACTAATTTATTGGGAATTTGCACATCTTTTGCTATTATACTGTGGGCCTTATAGAGCTTTTTCCTTTTTTTATAATTTTGAACAAGTATTTGTTTATGACGACAAAAAAGAATCACATTCCATTTATTCACCTGGAAAACGTTCCTCAAATTTTCGAATACAATTAGGAATATAAAATAATTTTGTTCATGTGTAATATATTACCTGAAATAAATTATATAGTCATTAACTTTTACGACTTACAGTAAATAAATTTGTACTTACCAACAAAAAAGAATTAAGCCACCAATAATCTCTAAAAATAACTATTTGCTTTATTAATATTAAAATAAAAAATGGAATAAAGGTGTTTATAAAATGTAAACAAATATAATATAAATATTGTCAGTCCCCAAATGAACGCCAGTGACATTTCTGACAGGACTGACAGTTCAGTTTAGTTCCTATTACGTCAAATCAGGCCCTTTCGATGGGTTTTTGATGGTTATCAGTTCACGTGGGTTTCGGGTATTGTTGAAGACCTGGTATAACTACCGACCCTGACCGTGACCCTGTCAACAACTGTCAATGACAACTGGCTCACAGGGTTGCCATATCTAAATGTCAGTTCCTACTTGTCAGCACTTTGACACGTTGTTGGAAATGGGCTGTGATTTGTGGATCAGCTGATGATAAAACTGTCATAAAAGTGATTTTTTTTATGGTATACATAATAACATTTTTGCAAATCGGTATTTTTATTTTAAACCTATTTCAGTGGTCAAATATGTCAAAGCAAAAGGAAGTAGATAACAGTAACAAGTATTCAATTTTACTACCTACCTATAATGAGGTACAAAATTTACCGATTATTATTTACCTTTTAGTAAAACAGATGAATCAAAGGTAAGAGAATTAATCTTCATTATTGACTTTATTATTTATTAATGTGCTTATCGAAGCAACCAATATACTAGTCTTATTAATACTAACTAAAACAATATCTAATATAGATGTTTATTGGTGATTGTTTCCCAGTACCACTAAAATAACACTGTTATTTAGAAGACTGAATTTTCCACCGTTTCCTTTAAACATTTCAAAAGAGTTAGTGCAAGACTGTTACAGCGCAGCCTGTAAAAGTAGACATATTTTGGTTGATTTTCACTATACCTTCCAGTTTAATTCCATACTGGTATTTTTCCATTTACATAAAATATTAGATGTAAATAAATGTCTGTACATATAGGTACCTACACACTTTTCATTTCTTTTACGTGTAACTGTATTTTTGATGGATAAGCTGAAAAGTTATATCGATAGTGAGAACAAGATCTTTGCAGTTACATAGGTACATTTATTATTGAATAGTGTTTTTTCTTAAAATATAAAAATGAGAAGTTGATTGAAATGGTGAGGCAACATACAGCCTGTTATGAGTTTGAAAACAGTGACTATTATATATATTGTCATGATTCCATCATTGGACTGTTGGTGTTGGTGCTGTGTCTTCATTCTGTATCATTCACACTCGATAGTTTTCTTTTCCGTGAATCGTCTTTAGCTATTGTATTTTATGTCAGTTGGTTATAGACATGAATCAAAAGTGCACCATTGCCATGTGACTTTTGTTTTGTACCGTCATATACAAAAATATTGATAACACATACTTTGATTACTATATGGTGCAAGAGAGACGCCCAACATAGGGCGCGGCCATTTTGATGCAATTACTACTAAGTTAGGCAACACATTTTTCCAAAATGTTAAACTGGTAGCCTATATCTTAGTATTTTGATATTTTAAAGGAAGGCAACAAATGTAGAAGAAACATTTATTTATTTTAAATAATATTGTTATGTGAGCCATTTCATTATTCAGTCATGCTCTAATCCTCCAAGTCCATTTCTGTCTTATTTGGCATTTGAGGCTCAACTTGTCCGATTATCATACATAATTAATCCCCTTAAGATCAAACATATGTGACGACTATGGCGGAGGCACTTTCGCGAACATTTCTGAGTCATCGTGATAATGTTTCTGGTATATTCCACATATAAGATGTTTCTATTTTGGTGGAGGAACATTCTGGAATCCACCAATTTGTATTAGGGATAGAACGATACCGATATCGGTATATCGGCACTTGTTGCCGATTATCGGTATCGTATCGAATCGGCAAGATAATTGCGGATATATCGGCAAAAATTTTTTTTGCGCTTTTCACTCTTTTCAGTGCATAAATGAAATGCATTATTAAAGAAAATACATTTTTTTTTTAAAGTAACATTTTTACTAAAAAAGTAAAATCCTAACACTACTAACAACAAATATACCTAATGTAGCAGGTACTAAATACAGTATATACTTAAAATTTAATTTATTGATATTATGATGAAAAAACACCAACATTTCAGCCCTATCTGTATTTAGTCTATTTCTTTTAGGCTCGTAAATATTACCTAATTCACTAAAAAGTTGTTCACTTGACACACTGCCAGCGGGTGCTGAAAGGTAGACTGAAGCTGCATTGTACAAACTGGGAAATTTATTTTTTTCTGCCTCCCACCACTCAAAAGGAGATTTATCTTTTAATAGAGTTGAAGATTCCAAATATAATATTTCATTTTCACATCCTTGCTTCATGTATTTTGTAGTACTGGTCTCGGAAGCGGAAGTAGAGGCAATGCTGTTAAAAGTTTCCCAAAATGTATTTTGCTTATTTTGTAAATGGCTTAAGGGAATATTGTCTTCATCTTTCAAAGATTCTGAATCCACTTCAGCTGCTGTATATTGCCTTTTTATTATATTTTTAATATGAAATAATGTTTGTTCTTTAGTATCTTTTGGAAAAAAATGCATTTTAAACTTAGGGTCTAAGAATGTGGCAACATACAGATTTTCTCGTTGTAATAACATATCACCAAGTCGTCTCTCTAAACTTGTTAGAAGTTCGTTCTTTATTGTACCTACACCAGCAAAGTTTGGTCCCTCTTTGGATAAATATTCTGTTAAGGTTACGACTAAAGGAATTACTTCAAAAATGCAACATTGTTCTTTACTTGCGGTTTTTGTAATTTCTTCAAATGGCCTTAAAATATTGAGGATGCTTTTTACGAATTCCCATTCAGAGTAAGTTAGGTTAGTGAGACCATCATTATTGGAAATATATAAGCTGATTGCTTCTTTTTGTTCCAATATACGCTCAAGCATATATTTAACTGGTTTTGAAATTGTTCAAGTTTATTACATGCCAATTGAGAATGACTGAAATGTCCGACGATTTTCCGAGATTTTGCAATTACGTCATTAATTGCTCTTTGACTGTTGATGTCATCATGAATTATTAGTTGAAGTGTATGAACAGAACATGGTTCGTAGTTTATATTGACTTCTTGCATTGCTTTCTTCATATTGCCTGCGCTATCAGCAATTACGACATGAACATCATTTATATTCAGATTCCAACCATTAAGCATTTCTGTTAAACACCTGACAATGGTTTCACCACTATGAGTTCCCGGAAAACCTTTTGTGTTTAAAACATAGGGGCATCGCGTTCCATTGCTGATCCAATGTCCAGTTAAAGAGATAAATGCTTTATTGCTGTTACTGGTCCATATGTCGGTAGTAAATGATATTTTTCCAGATCTGGCTTCAATATTCTTTTGCAGAGTCCCTTTACATTGTTCGTAAATATTAGGTAAAACAGTTTCTTTAAAGTAGTTTTCTGAAGGCATTTTATACTTAGGAACAGCTTTTGCAATGAGGCGTTTAAATCCCATATCAGCAACAATTGAAAATGGCTAGTTATCAACTGCAATCATTTCTCCAATTAGTTTGTGATACTCCTTTGCTTTATTGCTATTTATGTCCTATTAGAGATGGGTTGCTATTTCACAGTAGCAGGTTTTGTCACTGCTTTTCACTTGTCACTGGAGCTAAGTGCTCCACGACTCACCGAAAAGTTGTTACATTTCGGAGCAGGTTCCGAGAAAAAAGGAAAACGATATACGTCCTTTTTTTTTAATTCTTTTTTTACAGACTTATTTTGTCAATATAAAAAACTTACAAACACTTTTGTTGAAATAGAAACAGAATGCAAAATATTAATCTTTAAGTAGTAACTCAATAAGTGAATCCCCCATATAACTAAAGACAAAATTAATAATATCAATCATCTTCTTATTTACTTTTGGCCTGGCTGTAAGGTCCATTAAGTAAGTTCTAACCAATCTTCAAGAAAAGAAAATAATTAAATGTGTTTTATACGAAATTATTAACTCCATAATCAATAATTTATAGATAGAACAATTTTACTAAACACAAATAGTCATAAAAAACTTATCGTTATCGCTATACGTGTGTCTTTTTATCCAACTGTTGCAGCAACGTTGGCATCGGTGCGGTATGTCAACTGTTATTTATTTCAACGGTCAACGAGAATCCAACACAAAACGTTCAAGGCCGCATCGGTGAAACAACGGTTGCAACAAACCGGTGGAAAAAAAGACACACGTTATGTATGAAATATGAAAATTATCTAAAAGCTGCTCCAAAAAATAGCAGTATCTTGTCACTGCTTTTTTGTTGTAGCAAAAGCTGTTGTCACTGCTTCTTAAAAATAGCTTGCTTTACCCATCTCTATGTCCTATACATTTTGTGATGCAAAATGTTCCACAATATCAGATTGAGTAGAATTGCCCTTTGGTGCTGTCAAATTACGAGTATGTGTAGATTCATTGGCTCTCTCAACATCTGGAAATAAAGAACAGAAGAATTATGCACGCTTCACAATATAGGGTGTCTCAACCGAAAATAAATCAATTTATGGACACACTGTCATTTAAGTATACAGCATATGTGATTTTTTTTTAATAATGGTGCTAAAATACAGGTATTGCCTAAAGTTGATGCATATTCGATAATTATTCAGGTGAATTATTTTTAGTAAACCAATACAGGGTAAGTAAAAAAAACACAGGGGTCCTGCAATAGTGCGTCAGGCACCCATAACTCCCTTTTTTATAGAAATACAAAAAAATGTTACATATAAAAGTTGCAGTAGTGAAAGTGAAATTAGTTTTTACCTATATTTAACCGTTTTCCTGCTGCACTTGTTTAAAGGGGGAAAATACAATTGTTTCTAACTCGAAAACAGTTGAATTTTTTTTCAGGAGGCCATGTTTTGGTATTTAATTAAAAACAATTCTTTTTATTTAAAAACAATTTTTCTTTAGAATATTTTGCACCTAAAACTAATATCAAACATGCACCAACTTTCGGCAATATTTGTATTTTGAATTTTGATTGTGCAATTAATAAGAAAAATTCCCATATGTTGGACATTAAAATAAGTACACAATATTAAAATATTTAATGAATAAATAAAATCAACTTGCCTTTCCTTGTAACATTGCGAAATTCTTCATCGTGATACTTTTCCAAATGTGATTTTAAGTTTGAAGTGTTCGCATATCTTCCTCTTCCACCCAAAGAGATTGCCCTTTTACATATATTACACGTCGCTTTTTCGTTTTCAGATTTATCTGTCTGCATCTTCTCAAAATGTCTCCAAAAGATGCTCCTTTTACCTTTGTCAATACTTTTAATTTTTTATTTTTCCATTCTTTACTACTAGCCTGTCCAAAATAATCAGCAACCCTTCTCTTTCTACCAGCGCCCGTTTTCGCTTCCATTCTATTTGAACTCCCCGTTTAAATAGACTATTTTTATTTATTATTTATTTTATCTCTTCTAATTAACAGTAAAGTTAAAAACGCCGTGTTTTAAAGCACTACAGAATATAAGGGGCTTCCCCGAAATCCGAAATGTCACTCACTAACAATCACAAATCACAAACGTTTCCTCGCAACGAAATTATAAAACGGTACTTCCCCTGTTTT